TGAAAGTTCTCTAGATGGGGAGGTCTGTGGACAACTGCTCCCCCAATATCTCAACAACAAGAGTTGCAGGCCGTGTTTAACCCACCCACACTGTAAAGATGCAAATAAGTTGCTGCACCAAAAAGGAAAAGCAATGAGTTTTCTGTTAAAAAACATGTTCAACATTAGCAGTTAGGAAAGCTAAACCTGGTAATAGCATTTCAAAGAGGCACACTCACGTTAGTCACATTTTTGAACACGCAAACTCTAACATACATTATTGGATCTGCTACTGCTAGTTGCACTTCTACAAAAAAAATCAAGTTTATCCCATGCTAGTGATTTCAATTATGTAGATTTCAATTTTACCATTCAAATCTTTGTTTTATCTTCTCTTTTCCTTTTTTTCCCCAATCTGCAGCCTACAGGGGAAGTAACCTTTTTGTCTCTGAACCAGAAAGCCACCAGAGCCAAGTATTAGCCAGTGACTCACGTGACGCACTGATGATGCCAAAAGGATCTGAATTAGTAATGGAAAAGTCTTTGCAAAAGAAGCAGCTGCAGCACAAGACTGATCCTAACCATGGCTCTGAGAATTCATGTTGCAAAATCTTCCTTGGAAGCCCACAAAAAAAATGGACAGATTATGACTGTTAAAATAAAAGACAGATAAAGACAAACTAAAGCTCTTTGGGATTAAGAAGTGTACCAAAAAGATAGATATATAGATATATATATAGATATATAACTATATTGAGCGAGTTCTTACCTGTTTATTGAGCAACTTTTTATAAAAAAATACAGTGACTTACAGTTCAGTTTAATAAGCAGTTCCATTGTGATTACAACTCTGCATATCCGTTGGAAGGTAAAGGGCTACAGCTTCTACTATCAAGGATATATTGATATATATGAAGGCTGCCCATCAAAAATGAACTTATGTCCATAAAACATATTAAATAAAATGCATTAACAGAGTGGTTCATGGAGCAAACAATACATTAGAACAATACTGTACACTATTGTTCACTGGTGCCTATTTCACATAGACAGAAATGTGATAGCTTCATTCTTTTGGCCTTTTCCTCAGTGTAAGCATCAAGACTGACATTTATAAATATTAAGCCATGCCAGACTATTTCAGAAACAACACTCATAGCTCAGAAGAGACCCCCTTCCAATCTACAGTTGAGAGGTACCCATTTACAGCATCAGCATGAATATGGTAGGCAATCCTTAAATTTTTTTTTTTTTTTTTTTTTTTTTTTTCTTACAAAGTGCAAAGAAGTGCGCTTGGTGAAAGCAGGGATATAAAATACAATTATAATGGGGAACTGTCACTGAGTACTCTTGCTGACTACAGAGATATGGCTCCCAGTATTCATTAGGTGTCCTGACAGATAATTAAATGGATTACTCAATAAAAAGCTGTTGACAATCACTCATAAGACTAGTATTTTAATAAACAGGTTTCAGGCTCCATTAGCTGATATATTGAGTTTCCTTCAAATAATCCATTCAGTCCAGCTGTTTGTGCAAAGTTACTGGTCAACATAAAGCTTACACAAAAGTGTCAGTCAGAAAACAGCAGCAGAATAAGTTTGTAACACTCACCAGAATTATCTCGAGGGACAAATATTTTCAACATTTTGATGCCTTTCTAGAATGCATATTCATTATTATTTGGTACTACTGATTTGACAGAAGTATCTTTTTGTCACCTCATCAACTCTGCTTGATGTTATTACAGTTCTTTAAGTTACATTTGTGCTTTTAGTAACTCCAAATACCAAACCAGCATTATTTATCCGGGGCTCCACCTGCCGGCCTTGAAACAAGCATAAGTGTTTGTAGGTCCTGTATAAACAGTCCAACCTTTTTTGGTATTCAGACAGAAGCGTTTAAGCCAGCTAAAACAGATCTACCCCTTAAATAACAGTGATAC